CTGGCACTGCTCAGCCTGGACAAGAGAAGGCTCCAGGGGTCTCATCCCTGCCCATCAGCAGCTGCAGGGAGGGTGCAGAGAGGATGGAGCCAGGCTCTTGGCAGTGGTGGCCAGGGACAGGACACACTGAGCACAGGAGGGTCCCTCTGGACACCAGGGAACACATTTTGGGTGTGGGGGTGACTGAGCACAGGCACAGGGATGTTGTGGAGTCCCCATCTTTGGGGATATTCAGCATTTCTCTGTCTACAAGCATGAGCAGGCTCTGTGTGACCCTGCTGAGCAGGGAGCTGGACCAGACAATCTCCAGAAGTTTCTTCTCACCTCCACCACTCTGTGCTTCTGAGATGAAGGTTCTCAGGAGATGCAGGGCTGGGCTGAGCCCTCTGCAGGGGTGTGACTTGTGCACAAATGCAGCTCCATTTGGCATGGAACAGCACTGTGTGATCACATCTCCTTTGCTGTAAGAATGTAAAATGGCTTAATAATTCTTCTCCTGCTGTTTTGGATTAATTTCTATCTTTATGCTATGTGTTTTCTTTGCTTGCTTCCTCCTTTCACCTTCCCAGCTGTCTCCTCAGAGAAACTTCCGTGCCTCTTATTGTTCTGCTTGTTTTCATTCTCCTTCTTGGGTAAATGTTTTTTGTTTTTTTTTTTTTTTTTTAAGTATGGTTTCCTAAAGCTCTGCAAAATGCTCTTTCCCTGTTGCATTTTAAAGTATTAGTTGTAAAAAAAGGGGCAAGGACCTTTAATTCAGGTGCATGCCTTCCTTTATCTGCTTTTCTTTTAAAAAGTGACTAAAGCCATTGATAAATAATGCTAATTTTTGCTGCCATCTGTGAATACAGGACCAAGCTGTTTCAGAGCAGCATTTTTAGTGCTTTATCTGTTTTGTGGGGGGGGGGGGGGGAAGGAAAAAGGCTCTTTGCTTTAGCAGCAATAACCTGTCTCCCACAAGTTGTAGTCTGTGCTCCCATCTACCACTAAAACCCAAAGCAAACAAAGATTCGTGCAGAGACAGGAAACCTTTCGGGTGTAATTGCTGGGAGGTCTTTGCTTGCAGGATTTTTGGTTCACCCAGAAAGGCAGCTGAGCAGGGCTGTGGTTCACTGGGGTGGATTTATGATGAGCTCTCCCTGGGCTTTAATTGGAAGTTTTTTTGGCAGCTCTGTGAGTTTCAGACACCCTGTGCAAGAGTCTCCTGGCCAGGCTGAGTGAAAATGTCCCAGGGAGGGAGGAAGGGAGGGAGGGAAGGGGCTGGTGTGTGGAGGCAAAGCTGAGCTACGCCCTGATGACAGCCCTGCCTGCAGGCTCCTTTATTTTGGCCTCGAGCCTTAGTTTACATAATCCTGTCCTGATCCCTCTTCTTCTGCATGGATCAGCCTTAGAAGACCCTCCAGTCTGACCAGATCAAACTGGGAAGCCCATCATCATCTCCCATCATCTGAGCCAAGGAGTGCAGGTGTTGGTGGAATTGGATTGCTTTGGCTGTATCAGACCTCACCAGTGCCAGGGCTTGATTTTGGGACTCCTTTAGAGGCTGAAAAAAAGAAATCAAACCTTGAACATGGTCTGGAGAACTGTGGAACAGGTCTGGCTCCTGGAGCCTGTGTATTGAATAGGTGCAACCTGCATGGGGGAGGTCTCACCTGCAGAGTCCTTGTGCCTTTTTCTCATGTGTTCATCTCTGAGTTGTGTGAGTTTCCCAAAGTAGAACTGGACTGTGATTGGGGATCACTTTCCCAAACCAGAGCTGGACTGTGATTTGGGATCACTTTCCCAAACCAGAATTGGACTGTGATTTAGGATCTGGTCTTTAGGGAAGCTTGTCACAGCGATGTGTAAGAGCATAATAAAACCCTAACTGCTTCACTTTAATGTGTCAAATGACTCATTTACAGTGTCATCTGGGAGAGATGAGGCTCTATGAGATAAGTAAGACTTGCATGGAGAGGGGGAATATTGAGTAATGGACCCACAGCTATAATTGGAGGAGGAATAGATCTTCCGTTTCAGATCTGAGGAAGTGGTTGATCTGCCCGGTCTGTAAGTGAATGATTCTTCTCAACTTCCTCCACATATTCCCCACTTCCTCTGTGTAATATTCCTGTTATTTATAACTGCTGCATTGAATCCTAGAGGCAGATGCTGCCTGCATTTCTGTATTATATAGAAGTTAAGGTCCAACAGGTTGGTGGATAGTCCTGACCTTCTGGGAGCAAATAGTTGATTGGAAGCAGGAAAAATATTTATGTCCCTATAACTAACCCCCTTTTCTCTATATTTATCATGTCTGAATATAGAGCAGCCCTGTCCATCTCTTCCCATGCCAAAGGAGGCCAGGGAAGTGGCAGACAGACATACAAAGGATTATTATATTTGATCAGGCTTGGAAATGGGTTGGAGATAAAGCCCTTGGTGTTTACTGGACCATTAAACATTTATTATCATCTCTCCAGCATGCTGGTGGTGCTGGAAATAAGAGCTGTGACAAAAGAGTGGGGTCAGCAGTTGCCTTTTGCACCGATGTTTGTAAATGCAGAAGCAGGTCCTGTGATTTTTTGGAGAGCTTGGTTGGGGGGAGCATCTGCCCAGATGCCGTGGAGAAAAGGAGCAGATGAGCCAGCAGGCCAGAGCTCCTCTTTATCACAAGGAAACGCTGAAATCTTAGGAAGTGAGAGAATTTAAACAACAATGAAAAAAAGATTAGGGCCAGAGTTAGGAGTTAATTTATCCCTGCCCTTCCTAACAAAAATACTTAACGCTCTGGGATCGGAACAGCTTTTGGATCTGGATTTAATTAGGTGGAAGGAGGGTTTGGGCCTCTCTCCCCCAGCTCAGCCACGCTCCACGAGGCATTTCCATCATCAGATTTTTGTTTCCTTTTCTCCCCCTCGCCAGGTTTTTGCAGGGAGAGGAGAAGTGTGGCCGCAGGGCTGGGACTGGGCTCATGGGGCCAGAGCTGCAGCACCTGGTTGGATGATGGGGCTTTTGAAAAGGGGAATATGAAGGGATTATTCTATTGCTGGGAGGCCACAGCCCGTGATTCCTACTGCAGGCAATCCCTCTGAAGTCAATGAGATTGGAAAGCGTGGAAATCAGTATGGAATTCAGCGTTTTCCTGGAAAAGTGCGGGGGGGATATTTGTTTTACTGGCATGTAAATTACTTCTAATAAGGCTCCATAGACACAACTGATCCTTCTCATCACAGTTACTGCTCCTTCCAGTCCCAGAGTCGCTCTCACTGCCCTCTCATTTTTAAATAATTTTGCAAAAAAAGCCTCCTGCGTGGGAATTCTGGGAATGACTCAGGCAGGAGCGAGTCCTCGTGCACTGGGGACCTGTGGTGTGAAGGGAGAAAGGAGACAGGCTTGTTTTCACACTCCCTCATTTTGTGTCTCTGACATGTTTCTGTTCCACCATTCAGATGTCTTCAGGCTGAGGGATAATTAGAGGGAGCCTGTTTGGCTGCAGAGCCGGATTGGGAATCCACATTGCCGGCAGCAGGCTGGGTTATTTGTTGGGGAATGCAAAGCAGTGCAGTGGGTGTCCAGGGAGCACCACCAGGGAGGAGATGCTCTGCTGCTCCTTCCCTGTGCCTGCAGAAAGCATCTCCTTTCTCCAGCCTAAAATAAATCCATAGAAACACAGAATGGTTTGGTTTGGGTTGGAAGGGACCTTCAAGACTGTTTAGTTCCAAGACGAGTGACAGGGACACCTTCCATTAAACCAGGTTGCTGCAATCCCCATCCAGCCTGGCCTTGGACACTTCCAGGGATGTGGGAGGGGAGGATATTGGGTTTTTTTCTGTGTCTCTCTAGCCTGGCAGTCTCCATCACCTACATTCAGATGTTTAAGGGATTCCTGGGAGCTGCTGCTGGAGCTCTGGGGCATCGGTTCTGCTGCTGCCTTTGCTGTGGGTGGCTGCTTTGGGTGCTCATTCTGAGGCTTTAAATAAAGCATTAGAACAAAGAGCAGCAGCTTTTCTCTTGCTCCACTGAGGAAGGCATTGAATTTTGCCAGATGTTCCCAGAGTACAGGTGGTTTCAGCTGTTTTAGACTCACCTCACCTTAAAAAAGTGCACCTTGCCTGTTTATGCTTTGCACAGCACGTGGAAGATGTGGCCAGCTTGAAAATGAGATCTAAAACTGGAAGAGTCCTACAGAAAGTAATTGAGGAGCCAAACATACACAACTGAATAAGTGAGGAGAGAACCAGGTCCTGTGAAGCTGGTTGCCAAGGGAATAATTCACTTGTCTCTCCCCCAGCCTGATGGAATATTGTTTTCCTTTCCTCCTTGCCAGCATACCCACAGCTCCAGAGGAGCCACTCTCACTCCTGTAGATGCTTTAACTGATACATTCCTAATCCCACCTTGGGGCTGTTTTCATGAGCAGAGGAGCCTTTGAAGGCACCTTCCCCTGTTCCAGGCCTCCAGAAGAGTTTGTGCTGTCCAGAGCTTTGTCCTCTCTTCCCACTGGTGCTGGCTGGCCTGATGGAGTACCTGGCTCCTGCCCACAAACTTTCACTTTCCTCTCCAAAAATAAGGGCATTTTAAAGGCAGCAGTCTAGATTTGGATGTGAAATCATGCAGGAAAGGAAACTTTTCTAGCTTCAGGCCAAGTGATGTATGTTCTTTGTTGTCCTCTCTGCCAAACAGAACAATTTAAGAATAATTTTGTTGTTTATTAGCTGCTGGTGTATTAACAGGCTGTGTAAACTTGGGTTATTCCCTGAAACATGAGCTGTGCTCTTCAGTCTTCTCCTTGACCATCTCCACATCTTCTGCAAGCTGGTTTTTGTCCATCTGAGCTTGGAATACTTGGATAAACTTATTTTCTGTGGAGACTCCATTAGTGGCTGGGACAATCTCAGTCATCCATGACAGAACCCAAGCACTTGGGGCAGAAAAATGCTGTTTGTTTAATGTGGCTGATCCATGTGAAGGGACTCACTCATCTTGGCACAAGCCACTCACTGGGTGTTCCTCTCTTCCAGGGCACATCGAGAATAATCATCAGCCTTGACAAGGATTGGTTGAGTGCTCCTCATCCTCCTGGTTTGGTATTAATTGGGAAAAGCTTTGGCTGTCACGTTGGGGAGGTGCAGAGGTGAATGAACGTCCCTCTCAAGGTACAGTAGAGGCATGGAGGAGGTGTTTGGGCTGTGGAGCTGCTGGAGCCTTTGGAGGTTCCAGGGTGTAGATTCACATCCCTCAATCCCACATAGAGAAATCTGCACTCCATCCTTCCCTTGTTCAATCCCAGTGAGCAGAGTCTTCTTAGACTGGGGGTGTTGGGTTTGTTTTGGTGTAAACTTGGATAAATGCAATGTTTTCTCTTCATTTACTTTATTTTTTGAAACTTTGGGGTTGTATCATAAGTAGAGTTTGGGCATTAATATTTACAATATTTTGAAGAGAATTTTTCTTTAGTTTCTTGTCTAGACAAACCAGTATTAGACTAAAGTATACTGAATTAGTGTTAGACTGAAATATATTCTTACCTTGGTGCAGATGGGCACTGAATTCTTGAATGAGTGATTTATAAAGGAGGGGGAAAGAAAAAGCCCAGAGTCTTTTTGAGGAAAGGAAGGTTGTGGAGTAAGAAGGAAGCTTCCAGAGTGTAAGAAGTGTTACTCAGGACATTGGTGAATTAAAACCCAGCATCCATCAAGGAGTTTGTGGGAAGTTTTTCTGCTCGAAGTTCTTCCCGTGGTCTGACCTGTGGAAAAGCTTGAGGAATGCTTTTAAAAATTAAAAATAAAAACCCTACTGTAAGATTTCACGTTGGGTGTTTGGAAGGACTCGTTCCAACCCAGGTGGATTCAGTGCTGCTGGAGCAGCAAGGGGAGATGTGCATGTGAAACCTGGGGATTTGTACAAACAAGATCTTTTCCTAAAGCATTTCTTGTTGCTGCGGCTTTCATGGGTTCACCCTGTCTGGAGAAGTAGTTTGTGTTTGTGGTTTGATATTTCCTTAAAGCCTCCACAAATGGTCCTGCCGACCCTGCCTGCTTCACAAACATTTATGGTTTCGTATAAAACTTCTTTGAACTCATTGCAAATCTGATTTGATACCTCAGTGCCAAACTGAAGCCAGTCCTGACTTTTAGGGTTGACTGAATCCTTCCCTTGGAATTTGTGTGATATTTAGCAGTGAGTTTCAGATCTGTTTGTGTGTGTTCCTCTCTGTACTTCACTGAATTTCATGTTGTGTTTTGCTACCTGTATTTTTTAATTGTTTTGAGTTTTTTTCCCCTCACTTTTTAATTTGGGAAAAACTCCTGTTAAGATCAACAGCTGAATGAATCCCAGTAATTAGAGTTGTCCTGTGTAGGGCCAGGAGTTGGATTTGGATGATCCTTGTGGGTCCCTTCCAACTCAGGGTATTCTGTGATTATAATTTGCAGAGAAGTGGCCAACTGTCCTAGGAGAAAGACTTTGTCTTTGGTGCCTGCCTTCTCCATAGCTGATCTCAGAAAAAGATTAAATTCAATGAGACTGAAGTCTCAGAAGTAATTAATGTATGATGCTCAGCATAAACATTAATAGACTAAACTCCACTTATTTTTAAATTTTTACTAGTATAAGAAAAGGATTTTTTAGAGAAGCAGGAGCTTGGATGTGCCTGTCAGGGCTTCTGATCTCTTTGGGGTTGGAATTCAGTGGTCAGCTGGGATCCTGAAATTGCTGGATGTGCCTGGAGCCACAGGAAGAGGAGTGGCCATGGGCTGATCACTGTGGCCACTGCTGTGACTGGCCAGGTGAAATGGTCCCAACAGAATTGCTTTTGTGTGAGTGCTTTGTCTTGCTCAATCCCCACGTGGATGTGACTGTGGGCTGAAGTGAAATAATCCCTCAGCACCTTCCTTTTAAAATTGGGATTAAAACAGCAGCTTCTTCATCAGAGTCCTTTTGGAATAAGACAGCAAAGTCCACCCTGAGGTCATGGGACTTGTTCAGGTGCCTCAGGTAGTGTGGGACTCTGGGTGGGATTCAGAGATGGAGTGTCAGAGGTGTCCATCATACCCAGAGCCTCTTGACTCCTGTGGAAAGACATTTTGGGCTGAGTGTCTTTTCTCTCTCTAAAACAGGGGTGATGGAACAGCTGATGGGAGCTGGAAGGGCTTGTACACCCATTTCTGCTTGTGTTTCATTATCCATCACTTCCTGATTGGTGTCACAGGGCCAGAGCATTGAGATTCAGAATATATGGGGGAAAAGTGATGCATGAAGCCTACACAAAGCTGCCCACTCAGATTTCTGGGCTTTGTTTGCACGGGTCACATTCACTTGTCACAAGTTACTGTCTTCTTTTTGTTAACTATTTCAGCAATGTCACACATTTATTCCAGCTCAGGCATAGTAGTAGAGCAGGGAGCCTGTGTTTGCAGAGCACAGGTGAGAAGACTTGTGAATTTAGATCTGAAATGTTGATTATATCCTAAAAGAGTCTTCTTGTCTGATTGGAAACCTTGGGATCCTGAACATCCCAGCTCTGGTGGCACCTCTGAGTACAGGTCATGGTGGTCTCAAATCCAAATTGGCTTAAAATGCATTACTGGAGATGGGAAAGGAGGGTGGGAGTAGGAACAGACCCACTACCAAACAGGTGCTGTCTGTCCCAGAGGGTGTGAGTGGGAATTGTAGAATATTTGGTTGGAAAGGTTCTTTAAAGGTCATCTCATTCCACCCCCTGCCATGGGCAGGGACACCTCCCACCATCCCAGGCTGCTCCAAGCCCCATCCAGCCTTGGACACTTCCAGGGATCCAGGGTCAGCCACAGCAAATCTGGGCACCCTGTGCCAGGGCCTCACCAATCTCATAGTCAAGAAATTCCTTCTAAAATCTGGGTTCACTCAGTTTTGTCCATCATAATTATTTTCATGATCCCAGCGGGTTTACAGGAAGGGTAGGGAGGGAAGCATTCCTGATGCCTTCCAAAAATCCAATATTCCAAATCCTGCAATGGGAATGTGGGCAGGATCATCTCCTCCAGGTCCTTAGACCACCAGCCCTGCCTTGGGCTCACAGAAATCGTTTTGTTTAGGAAAATCAAGGGCCTTGTTCAGAAATGCTGGAATTTCTTTGGAAATTCAGCTTTCAAAATCCACAGAGAAGCCACCCCTGCTCCCAGCAGCAGGTCGGAAGCTGGGTTTTTTGGGATTGCTGCCAAGAAACATTTCTTGGAAACCCTTCCATGTGTGAACAGCAGGACAGGAGGTCTGGGTTTGAACTCGGGATGGTAAAACCAGGGAGGTTTTGGCAGGGCTGTGTTCAGATGCCTCATTCTTGGCCTTTCTCCTTGGGGTGTATGGGCAAACCCCTGCCTGGGCTGGCTCAGAAACTTCCATCTGACTTTGTAGCAAAGCTGAATTTTCCACTAACTGGGATTGAAACAGCTCTCTTAATTTTTTGGATGGATTTCTCCAACCCATTGACTACACCCAATCTGTATTTTTAAATGAAACAAATGCTGAATCTTCCCTGCAGGGGCAAGAATTTTGATAGAATCATGAAATGGCTTGGATTGCAAGGGACCTTAGAGACCATTTGCTTCCAACACAGGGACATCCTTCACTAGACCAGGCTGCTCCAAGCCCCATCCAGCCTGGGGATTCCCTGAAACCATCCCCTGATTTTATGATTCTTTGAAAATTATGAAGCTGTAGCCTGGAGTATCAATTACTCCTTAAGCCAGGTCAAACTTTCCCCCCTTTTTTTTTTTTCTCTAGAGGTTCCTCATTGCCCTCTCTGAATCCCTTCTTTCTTTTTTTTCGGGAGAAACTATAAAATTTATGTGGAGAAGGAAGGAAAATCTTCTTCTGACTGCAAGGGCCAGGTCAGCATCTTTTTTTAAAATCCCTGTGAGAGCAATTTGTCAGAAAACCTTGTGGGAAGCACAGAGCTGGAGTCTAGTGGAGCCAAGCTGAGCTTGAACACTCCCTTGATTTGAGCTCATATCACCAGCAGGAACAGAAATCTTTTTATCAGTGACTTTATAGGATAAGAAGGAGAATTTCCCAATGGATGGGCTTCTTCCCTAGGTTTCATTCTCCCTGAGAAAAGCAGATCCACTGGGAAGTTGGTAGCTCCAGACAAGTATGTGCATGCACTGATGTGCATTCTCACCTGTAGGTACACACAGAGCTTTCCCAAATTGCCCAGAACCTGAGAAAATGGAGATAAAATCAAAAAGGCAATTGCAGTTAATTACACTTTCAAGGCAACTGGAGATTGGTTGGAATCCTGTGGGATTTCTGAGGCCTCCCAGTGCAATTTCAGGTGCAGTGTGGGCAGGAGGGTTTGGTGTCTGTGCTTGGAGGTGTCTCAGTTGTGACTGTCACCTCTGGCTGTTGGGCTGTGCATGGCACAGATGTCACCACTAAAACACAGGTATTGTCTCTTGGCAAATTCTTCATAGAAATTTTGAGTTTCAGTTTAAAAAAATAAAAGCATTTTGTGCATGACTGAACTTCATTGTTCTTTTTCCATTTACATCCTTTCCCATTTCTTCCCATCCTCACCAAAAACTGGCCTGAATTTTGTGTTTTGAGTGATGGGAAAAAGCCACATTCCAAGAAATCCTGGATTTGGTTTATAGAGGAATTGGGATGTGACCAAAGAAGTGCCAGATGTGGGACGTTCAGGGGGTTGCAGGTGAGCTGGTGTGGAGTAACAAGTGTAGAAATCCATCGTGACAATTAAATGTCTTATTTTCTATGATGTGAGCTTGGAAAATTAAAGGAAAAGCCTGACTTTTAACTCTAGAAGAATCAAAGTCTTGAGGGTTTCAGCAGTGGGAGTCACAAAATACATGAAGCTGTGTGGGACAGCGTTTCTTGCTGTCCCCTTCTGTTCCTGTGGGAATTTAGGGAAAAAAAATGCTCTGCTAACTTCAAAATTTTGCTTGACCCAACCTTTGAGTTTCCAAACACCTTCTAACCATGTCCCATCAAACTCATAATTACCTGAAATTGCAGTTTTTGGGAGGTCCATGTGAGTATTTGTTCAGACCTAGACTTCACCAGTAGCAGAAACACATGATGTTTTTAAAAAGACAACACAGACTTGATTTTATTCCCTTAAGATGGCAAATCTTTCTTCAAAGAATCATGAATTAAACAAGAC